GGCTCATGCTTGTTGTAAGGGCCGTACAGGGACATGTTGAGGAGCTAACTCGTAGCACATACTCGACTGCATGTCCACTTGGAAACGAGAAGACGCCTAATACCCCTTTCATAATTTCAACTCCTGCTCCCAGTGGTTCAACAGTTGCAATAAAATAAAAAAAAATCCAGAATTAAATAGTCATTCTATAGTAAAATTACTTTCTAAATTTTAAATTTTCATTCAATCTTAAAAAATGTCATTCAAATTTTAAAATTTTTCGTCTTACTTGAGAACTTTCCTTTCAGGAATGGGGTATCACTTCTTATTTGAACTGCATGCTAGAGCTGTAATGAAAGTTTGGATGAGTTCATGAAATATTTTAATTGGACTGTCATTCTAAGTAAGAATTTTCAGTCATAAATAAGTCAATCCGATCTAAATTAGAAGATATTTGTTGTAGTAGAATGAAAGTTTTAATTACAATATTTCATAAACTCGTCCAGACGGTCATTCCATCTTAAACAAATATATATTGTTGGAAGGGAAAACTCATATTTAGACGGAAACTTCTCAAATAAAACTGAAAATTTTAGAATTTGACAAAAATTGGAATGATAATTTATAAATATGAAGGATTTCTTTTTATGAAATATTTTTTCAACCTTCATTTCTCGCGGGAATTTTTCTGTTGATTAATACACATTTCGTTAAAAGTGAAAAAGTGAACCTTTTGATTGTTCACTTTTTGTAACAAAGCCGAAATTCATGTTGGAGTTATATACGTAAGAGAAATTCATGTTGGCAATATGAACTGAGGAGCGATATAAATAAGAATAAATTGGAACAATCATTGCTAAGTGTTGCTAAGTGGGCAGTGATATGGGTCAACTGCCATCGCTTGGAGTACTCGACCCATCACATACACACACACACACACCTTACCCAACCCCAACCACCCCAACACACCAACGATGTTCAAATTTATCCCTTGTAGGCTATCTTCGAGGCAGCCTTTTGGAGCGGCCGCTGCTCGGCAACTCAGAATAAACTTAAGGTTTGTTCGAGTGCTCCGGACCCATCAACGTGCAACTTGTGCGCTTGATTATGGGCAGTACATAGTACGCCATCATTGCGATTGCTTGCGTGCACATGCATTGCTAGTCGATATGAGATAGCCCTGTTATACAAAGTCTCGCGAGTGTCGGCTATCCGATTTCTGCGACGGAAAATTATGGGATGGATACTCAAGGGACTACGAGTGTTGTCGCGTTGTTGTTATGTTTGAAACTTATCGGCGTAGCACTAGATGCTCACCTAGCAGTTCTGGATGTCGGTTATATCGACACATCATATGATGCCTTACAAGCAAACTGTGGTCGGATCCCGACCCCCATCCCCGGTGTGGATCTATGAGAGCAGATTTGACGCAATCCACCGTTAGATCTACATCGGAGAGGCGGACCGGTTATCCTGCCGCTGTTTAGTGTAGTCATTATGTGGGAGTCGACATCGCAAGAACCCGACGATGTTCCAATTGGGACGTGCTCTTGCTTCGTGATGTGCAGGTGCTTACCAGAGGCGTATTCGATCCCCTCCTTGACGTGAAGCAAAGTGCGAGGGAATTGCTCAGGGTTCACACCAGAAGTGCGATTGAACTCGCACTTTGATGGAGAAGCAGGTGCGCACTCCATCAGCGTGATGATTTAATATGGACATTGGCTTGTCATTTGTACATTCCCGGATGAAAATGTCATCAAATCTTTGTGTGGAGAAGATACATATCCATTCATATAAGTATCTCTTGTCATCGCAAACATCGAGATGAAAACCATCTCAAGTTGCCTTGTGTTTTTCCGAATGTGAAGTTGCACAGCACACGAAGAGTTTCCAGAAATCATTCAATGCAAAAAATTCATTCAATCCCGCATTGCAAAGTACACAGAGGCTTTCCAAAAATCACAAAGTACATGGAACCAATTTCACATTCGCTTAGACATGACTCAAATGACAATCTTTTTAGCGATGTATCCATTATGTCGATAAGACAGAAGGCCTGTAAAAAAAATATTATTTTTTGCGAACTTGCGTAAATGATCACTATCATTTTTTGCGAACTTGCGTAAATGATTACTCTTCAAGTGACAACACAAAAGGAAACAACAACCAGCATTCCAACTTGCAGTTATGAACAAGCTGGCGTTGATAGCACAAAAAACACAAATGAACGCTTTTTATTCATTTTGTCGACAAGACAGAAGACCTGTAAAAAAAATAGCATTTTTTGCGAACTTGTGTAAATGATCAGTCTTTCAGTGAGAACACAGAAGGTAACATTTTCGACAAATCATCTATTTTTGCGAACGCTTCATATCGATCCTTCAGCACCAAACACATGGGCAAAGCACACACACATTCCGGGAATAGTACAATTGATGATCATTTTGTCGAACTTGCATTTATGAACAAGCTGGCGTTTACAACACAAAAAGTAATCATTTTGGGAAATTTGTGGACATGAACGGTTTAATTACAAATGAACGGCATCCCAAGTGGGAATATGTTCGCATTTTTCATACGGAAACAACAACCAGCATTCCGTGGAGAGCACGAGATGTATTCTGGGGATAACAAAATTGACAATCATTTTGTGCACCGCTTAATCCGTAAAACAACTTCAAGCACACATACATTCTGACGATAATTGATTTTCGAATGGAGATTAAGTTCGCAATTGTCATATGGAACCAACAGACAACATGCAGTGAAGACAAGCAGAGAGGTTTAACCGCAAAACGGGGCGGCACGTGCAGAACAGGGGCGAGCCAGAACATGTGAAAGTTGGGCGGTCGGGGTGGGGCGGGGGAGGGGGGCTTTCACACCACAAAGTCTCGCGAAAGAAAGAGATAAGCACGAAATAATTTAGCGACCAAGAAGAAATCGTTGATATCTTTTACCAATATCTTGCTAAATGAATCAGAGTATCGAGCCCCACGAGCATGAGTGTAAACAATATCTACAACAGGACGAAGACGTCCCATGAGTAACATAGGAGCATAACCTGGAAACGAACAAACCCAGCACGTTGCTGCGGCGGTCGTAGAGGACATAAGGAGAACAACCCGAAAACAAACAAAGGGAGCAAAAATTTAGGATATCCACATCCGATATGTAAGCATCTACTTAAAAGATACTGCACCACGTGACTGGGATATTTATATCGGCATCTAAGCTTCTACTTCACGTAAGCGTCCGCTGCAACCCTCTAGCTGATGTTGTGCGGCAAGCAATGAGAACAACCTGAAAACAAACAAAGGTAGCACAACGCTGTCGAAATTCCTACGAGTAAAGATGACAGGTTCCTCCAACTGAAGAACCCTAAAAAAAATGCTACAGCCCGAGGCTGGGATATTCACATCGACACCTAAGCGCTTACTTGACCAAAACGTCCACTGCAATCCGGTACCTCATCAAAACAATAGCACATCTCGAACCGGCCGACTGCTAGACGAAGTGAGAATAAATTCGCACTTCTGCTTATGGCCTTTCGAATAAAAAACTACGCTTATTTTAATAACAGGAGTATTATTCAGAGCCTTTAAGTATGCCCACCGCAATCCTCAGCCTGATGTTTGGAATGTCGCTTTGGGCTATCGGAAATGATGGCGGATAGCCGCGTGCAAGAAATGAAGCGAAGGCCAGCATGAAAACACCGCAGCTCGACCCGTCCGACTAGAGGGACACCATGAGCAACCACCTTGGGCTCCGGGAGATCCAGTTCCGTTGTTTGACCAAATTGACAAACTGCTTCGTCACGGGGTATTGCGTGAAGTTCGCAAGCACATCGGAAGAAAAACCTCCATCGTCTTGTAGGAGGGACTCGTAGTACTCCTGCCATTGTTTATCGGACACATAATAGGGTCCAATGAACTCGATGTTTATGGACAGGAATCAAGACCATGTCGTACGAGAAAATATTCACATCTTTTGTCCATCTCGCAACCCTTTCATGTCGATAGCCGCCACCGACGAGCTTGGTATAGAAAAAAGGACTGAAAATGTAAAGAGAGGGACACCCAGGCAACGCAGCGTTGCCAAGCAAGGCCAAGTACGACTCCACCACCTCGTCGGAAAGCCATTCCCCCTGGACAAGAGTTTGAAGATTTTTTCTGCTCAACGAAATTGAACTGGCCCCTTTGCGAACCGAGAAAACCACCTCGTGGCCGTTGCTGAAATCTCCGCAGACGTCCTGCAACATTCTCAAGTTCGTAGCGCTAAGCTCCTCAGTAGGCAAGGGAACGCGAAAACATGATGTCGCCCCAGCTGCACAAACACCCACGAACAAGTGTGAGGAGTGACCAAAATCACCGGTGCGAAATGGCTAAGAACTGTCTGCCCTTTTCCCAGAAAAGTTGTGTCCCCAACTGTTGAATGTGTCCTTGGCGATGTACTTAGGATATGGGTCTTTCAAGACACCCCGTTTGGCATCGTCATCAGACCCATCAGACAAAGCAGTAACGCTTTTAATAGACGCAGCCAAATGTTTCCACAAAGCTTCCTCCTTATCTATTCCACAAGCCTTCAGAACCCTGACAACTCTCTGGGAAAGGCGAGGCATCAGGATCATTTTAAACAACCCTACACTTGACAACTTCTTCGATAAAGCGGCCAATGACCTCCCTGAAAGACATTTCTCGTGCACGACTTTTAAAGGTTTCATGGGCAGGGACATTGACAAACTCACACCTGTAAAACATAGAAAACAACCCACAGCCCACAAACTTTTTTTCAATGAGTGGTAATAGGTACATGAACCCATCACATCAATTTGGACGAACATAGAGCTGGCTAGTCACAGATATGCGAGTGCTCCTATTCACAAATCTTACTGTGCTCGGGAACCCTTTGAGGGAAATCGCCCTCCTGTCGCGCCACTGCGCCAACGTCCACGGAGGATTTGCTGTCTGCATATCGGCCACAACCGTGTCGCTAACCAACTCGGTGGCAGCTGAGTCGCTAGGCAAGTCGATGGCTTCATGAAGCACCATTTCCCGACCGGTACTGAGGACAGACGCTCGATCACCCTGTTCTGCACCGCAACAGGTGGATGGAGAATCATGACCTTTCCACTCTGGATCCATCTTTGATGCTGACGGCTACCTCTCCGACTTCCACGGAGGATTCGACGTTCTGCACCTTGGCCACACCTGAGTCGCTAACCAGCTCGGTGGCAGCCGAGTCGTTACCCAACTCGATGGTTTCATGAAGTACCAATTCACGACCGGCACTGTGGACAGACACTCGATCACCCTGTTCTTCACCACTACCGGTGGGCGAAGAATCATCATCTTTCCACTGTGGATCCATCTGGATGACGACCGTCACCTCACCGCCTTCCACCATGGGTTCTCCGCCTTTCTTGTCGCCAAGAACCCGAGCCTCCACCACGGGTTCTTCTTCGCCTTCATCATCGCCAAGAAGGGGAGCTTCGACGAACGTCCACTGATGTCCCTTAACGACACCCTCTCGCGTCGTGGCCACATCCGAACTACTGTGCGGAACCTCTTCGGACGTCCCGATCACCAACACTCCTGCGTCGAGCCCCTTCACGACTTCGCAAGCCGACCTGTGTTGAGTCTCCTTTTCTCGCTGCAGAGCATGCGTTTCCCCCGGAGCTGCTGTACTCTCGCTGTCAGTGTCCACGGACGCACCCTCCGAAGCATGGCGCTCATACTCGCTACCCCCGGTCTCCAACACTGTGCGAGGCTGCCAGTGTTCAGTCTCCTCTTCCCGCTGTACAACATGCGCTTCCGGAGAGCGCTCCTCTTCCCCAGGAGCCGCTGTACTCTTGCTGTCAACGTCGACTGACACACCCTCCGAAGCATGACGTTCGCACTCGCCAGCCCCGGTCTCCAACACTCCTGCAGTGGGCCCCTCCAGCACGGCGCGAGACCGCCAGTCTCGAGTCTTAACATATGAGAACGGAGGTGAGCAGGGAACCCTGTGCCAAACTAAAGATGCGGGGGGTAGGACGTCACATTTTCTTGTCCCCGCGAAACTGTAGCGTGAGGAGCACTTCTGGCGGAAGAACTACAGGGCGACGTCAGCAACTCCGAATCTATTCGGAGTTTGTGGCGCTTGCCCGAGCTGATGGAACTGACGGTCGCACCTTCGCTCCTTTGCAATGCAGGCATCGCGCCCTCCAGGCAAAATGAAGATGCAGTTCCCATAAAGGAATGGTTTCGCCGCTCAGAAGATGCTGCCTAATGCTGCAGACGTTCGCCCTCTTCCAGGAGCAAGGTGTTGTGCACAGGAGACCCCTGCTGCGCACGGCGGGATGGACTCTCCTCGGCGTCGGGAAACAACGTCCTCGCAGACATGTGCGAATCTAATCGCACTTGATCAGACCTCAGGGTGGCCACGTCTCGCATGTCGGATTCTCGACTCCCTACGCAGTGGCTATCAGTTTCCCTATGCTGGGGACTCCTGGTGTCGGGCGCATCGGTCCGGCACCACACATGGCAGCGCGTGATCCTCCCGGCAACGTCACGCAGGAGTTGGATCGATCCGTCACGAACACACAAGTGAAGCTTCCTTAGGCCGCTTCGGCCGAGTGCGCCAGCCATACCTCTCGCGAGCCCCTACGATAGGATAGGGCCTACGCGAGGCACAACTTACCTCCACCTTACGGGAGCTGTCACCTCCCTTCGGTGGGCGTATCCCCGCCGGGCTACCAGTCCACAGTACGAAAGCTAATCAGTTGCAATCGCAGAGGTGGACCAGTCGAGAGCGTTTCTCGTTCGCTGTAGCATAGGGGCTACACGCGGTAAATACGCCTCTATCGGACCCGCACGCGAACCGACATCTTGGGGGGGTTGAGATCCCAAGCGCGACCCGTCGTCGGTCGACTAGGACGCATCCCACACACCAAGCGCACACCACTTTACGAACACAAAAATAAAACACACACACACACACATCAAGTAATACGACAACACTCGTAGTCCCTTCAGTAGCCATCCCATGACTCTCCGATGCGAAAATCGGATAGGCGTCTCGCGCGAGACTTAGTATAAAGCCGCGCGGACACAACGCTAGCCCATATCAACTCCCAATGCAAGCGTACGCAAGCTGTCGCAGCGATGGCGTACTATGTAGTACCCATACTCATGCGGTCCTCGTTAATATCGAGGGTCGCATTCGACACTCAAGTGTCGGCTGACACGCGCCTTGAGGGTTAATCTCTCGACGCTGGACAACCGCCATGCGAGGTTGAGCACCACATACCCTCTTTTGCACTCTGTGCAGAGTGGGTAGTACACAGGTCCGTGCCTGTGGTGACAGTTGTTTCTTACTGCCTTGGAGATGAGCCCCACTCCAGGCCTGGGCAAAAGTCAAGGGGTTTGACTTAGACGGCTGCCACGGACTACAACGTCCAACTATAAAAATTAACACGCAAAATCATCCAATAAATAGATAACCACCCCACCACTCATATATCAATCAGATATCGAGATAACAACAAAAAAAGGGAAAACATAAGCCCATCAGGTATGCAGATCGCGCAACACATGGCTGTCATTCTCACTGCCTCCTAAGTGAACCCGTACACAAGCTTCAAAAACACTCACCTGCGTAAGACACAACCACATAAAACAACCACATTGCCACACTCCCATGTGGTCAACCTCACTGTTTCCCTGTAACTCACACCACGCTCCACACTCAAGTCTCATCCCATGTTCCATTTTTCATAAATCACATCAATCCTTTATAATGGTCATTAAAGGAAAATCGGTTAAATCCTTCACAAAAACATATCCAATCTGAGGGCTAGGGCGTCACACTGAGGTACAGGTAAAAGCAAAGTTGTGTCGTGATGAATCGACGATCAACCAATTGACTTGTTATCCGTGATAACAGAAGATAATCCTCGTAGGATCAAGCTGAAACTAGTCCTAGTCCTGAATCGACTGTCCAAGAAAGCCTGTACCATAAAACAGGTCAATGCCCAAGCTAAATCATTAGCATATGGGAGATGAACCTCCATAACACATCCTCACTCAAGCTATCTGCCAACTAGGTCTAAGCCTACCTCTAAGCCAGTGCCCAAAGCAAAGGTAGGCTAATGGCAGAATCTCCCCTATCCAGGGTGGATCGCCAGAATCGCCACCTGTCAAAATATAATCTAACTCCTCTAAATCAAGAAAATTTCGGCAACGCTTCCCGTAGGGAAAGTGTCTTTTCATAATTTATATCAACCCGAATATGAAAACAGAAATAGTCTTTGACTTTCCAAAGTCCAATTTTGTCTAATTCCCTTAATTAGCAAAAATTTTGGCAGCACTCCCTTTAGAAAATGAGACTTTCCAGATCTTTACTAAGCCATGTATGAACTTTAGACAAGTTGAACTTTGGAAAGCCAAAATTTGACTAACTCCTTGGATTTGTAGCAATTTCGGCAGCGCTTCCCATAGAGAACGTAGCTTACCAAAATTTATACAAGGCCAAGTATAACAAAAGATCCCAGAAAATGCGAGAATTGATCTAAGTAAAAAAACGTAGCTCAGAAAATGCAGGAATCGAAACTAACTCCTATGGCTCTAGCATGTGGCGAACGACTAAAGCAACTACCTATAAAACTAAAACTCAGACCAAGTAGTAGCCTCACTCAGTGACATGCAGGCGAAACCACAAAGGTAAGTACTCTCACCATCCCCAGTCAATTTGTCAAACAATAGTTCATAGTCCTTCAATGCTTTAACCCTTTATACCCTGCTTACACAAGGCGTAAAGTCAGACCATCCAATCTTATGGAACATGCGTGGCTCAGCCATTGAGTGTACACGAACAGGTTGCACAACTACTTCTCTCTTCCTTTGGGCATATGACTAAGTCATTCATCTTAGAAATAAAGCTTAGTCGTCCTGAACTGTTTAATATCCAAGTTATATATATATCTCTGAACTTTAATCTTCAAAGCGGGGCGTAGGACTGAGTCATTCATCTTAGAAACAAAGCTTAGCCTGCCCAATGTTACCTTCAGTTATATTCTTAGTTGTACTCTCTTCAATTTACGATAAGCTATGACCAGACCATCCAATCTTATGGAACCCATGTCTGACTAGCCTATTCTTAAATAGAATAATAGTAAGGTATAGTCAAATTATAACCTTGGGTTCCAGCATATGCGAGGCTTTGAGCCAGACCCCCTGAACTTACAGAAGGATCTAACTCTCTGCCAGATTCATTTCTCTTTGAACCATCATGTGCGTGGCATTGAGTTAACCCCCCTGAACTTACAGAAGGGTTTGCCCTTTGCCAAAAATTACTGCCTCAGAATAAAGGCAGGAGGAGACTGAGCCACCTGAAATTACAGAACGGCTCGGCCCCCTCGTCAGAAACAAGGAAACTTAAGAAAACCCCCAAAAACAAGGCAACCCAGGGTACCTAAACTTATAGCGCCATGAGCTCCTGAAAACCAATCGCAGTCAAGTCCTCGCAAGTTAGAGCAGTCAGATCACCTAAACTTATAGAGCGTCCTGACCCTCCATGCAATTCACAGCACCGGGTCTCCCCAAACTTAGGGGGACGTCCCAGCCTCCAGAGCTCCAGGCTACCTAAACTTATAGAGCGGCCTGATTGCTCCATGAAGAACCAGAATAAACAAAGCACTGGGTTTTCCCAGCCTCAGCGACCCAGTCAATCCGCATGCAAAACCACCTTCCTCCCACCCTTCTTCCAGATGCATTCCCCTTCGTTCACAATCTGCCTTCAGTCAAACAACAAAACTGGAACTGGATTCGCACAACTATTTCCTTTACTTAGTCTGATTCATGTCCTGAAAGTCAAACTGAAAGTCAACGTAGGGATGCACGCAATACGCTCAGTCAACACGTAAAAAGATATACAGTTAGGGGTTATAGTTGGGTTTATAGAGGGAGTCAGGGAATTATCACTCAGTTCCCTGCCTCCAGGACTCCTCCTGAGTTCCGACAGAGCTCCCGCAATCGGTGGGGCGAACCTCCCACAAAGTCTTTGGCGCGAATTACGGGTTACAATCCCGCCTGCCGCCTTCCTCTCATAACCAGTTAGACTAGACTTAGATTCAGAAGGGCAGAAGGGGAGTGTTTGAGTCTCTCAGATCCAAGAGGGGTGCTCTCAGACTCGCAGGAGAGGGCCTTGGTTCCTTGATTCGCCTGAAGGCCCCGCAATGGCGCCCAAACCCCCCAGCCGCTTGGTCACCTTAACTTGGCAATTGCAATCGAACTTCTGGCAATTCCCCAGGTTTACAGCAATGAACCCCTCGACGCCCTCCCTCAATTGCACTGTCGGCCCCTCAACAGGGCTCCAATACCCCCTAGATGACTGCCGCCATGCGGCTCCAAACCCCCATACTCGTGTGGTGACTCCTCGCGCGCCCTGTCTCGAATTTCGAAAACACACAGCGACCTGCACAGCAAAGCGCGGTGGAAAGGTAGCAAGCACGGCAACGCGGTGAATGCGGCACCTGCAGTGGTGGGAGCGCAGCCAAGCTAAACAGCGATTCCTACAGCAAATGAGCAACAAGGAACCCACAATTTTGTAGCCGGCTCGTTCCCACAAGGTTCTCCTTTTCTTCCCACTAACTGCGCGGCTAGCTGGCGGTCCCACAGGCGGACTGCGCACAGACACCAACCGTATCTTCCTCACCAACCCCCCGTTAGCACCCACCCCCCTTTGTGGTTCAGCTTCAGCCCACTGCCATAACGCCCACCCCCCTTTGTGGTTCAGCTTCAGTCCACTGCCATAACGCCGCTTGCGCAACCAGGTGCATATTCCGGCCCCTGTGCGGACTCGCTGGTGCATGCAGCTACCCCCCCCCCGCCTGTACAATTCGAGACCGGACCTCCCGTCGGAGTACCACCAGGTACATGGACCAACCTCCACCATGAGAGTGAGCATAGGGAGAAGCCCCGCCACCGTGAACTTTTCCTTACGCGTTGCTATAAGGTGAGTACATTTCACCTTCTCCCCTCTTCTCTCGCCTGCCTCTCTCTGCGCCCCGGTTCCTCACTTCCCCAACTCCCTTGTCGAGCGTACCCGGCCCAAATCCTCGTTCGGGTTCGTCCACCCCCTTTATCGCCACCTCGTTATCCCGATCTAACCGACCCCTGACTCAGGGGGTAACCGGGGGTGACCGTGACATCAGCAGGAGCGCCGACGCAGTCTGTACGGGCGGCTGCACAGGGCAAGGTCAATCGTCGGGATGATGGCGATCGAGCGGAAATGCATGTTTCCGCTAAAACACGGAAAAATACACCGCCATTCGAATTTCCTCCCGAGACCTTCCCGCGCACCCCGCTTTCTTCTAGCTCGTTCCCTACCAACCTTCCTCCAAATCTGACCCTTTCACTTGATTCGCCGGGGATCAAACCCCCAAGATTGCTTCCTCCCTCACCAAATCCTACCGTGAGTCGTACGAAGCATCCGCTCTCCACTGCGCACCACCCACCTTTCCACCATC